TGGGCAACCAACCAGCTGAAGACACAAATATTTTGTGTAAAACTGTACCCAGTGTTTGTTTTCCTGCACCAGCCGCAGAAAAAGCTTCTGAATAGACATCCTCAGATGAAATTTGCAGTTTGGCGTAGTGGTCTTGTTCTGCTTCCTCTAAAGATAAAAATACATTTTAGCAAGAGAAATGAACCAACTGTGGTCGGCTTTCAAATAATCTGGATTTTCTAAAGTAAACTTTTTTAAAAATCTCAAAACTTTTAGGATTTTTTTTTTAATTTAACAAGTTTTGAATCTTTTGCACAGTTTACTTACTTTACATAACATTTGCATGACTTGCATACATAATTTTCAGTTAGACTTTGGTACAATGTGAACAGCTTCTTTTTTTTTACCTTCTTTTTTCACCTCCAGCATCGGTTCGCTCGGTCCTTCATCCCCTTCTTTGCCTTTTTCTGTCTCTTTGGGGATCTCTTGCATCTCCATGGCTCCCCTCTTCTTGTTTTCTCACAGTTTCGATTTTGCTGGAGCTTTTCAGACCTGCCTAGTCAACTGACAATGAGCTTATGTAACTTGTCATGCAGTTGCACAGACACTAAGTGACGTAGACTTGAACTTGGACTAAGACCTTTTATTGTCATTGTACAGTTGCTTGCACAATGGAATTACCTAACAAGACCACAAGGTTTAAAAGTAAAAGACAATATATAAAAGAAGAAGAAGAAATATATAGGAACATTATGTACACTAGAATATAACAAATAATAAAAAAGGGTGGAAGGGCTATGGAAACTGCACATCTGCCAAAATATGGCACAAAAAAGACATTAGACATTTTACATTAAATGGAGAGACATCTAGAGCTGGTAATGGAGTCCAGGGTGGAGAGTGGACACCTTCTCTGCAGTTTTGATGACCAATAAGGAGAGAGGGTCTGGATGACCCTCTCTCCTTATTGGCTGTTGTGCAACCAACGTACCACACGGGGATGGCGTGCACCAGCACACTCTTGATTGTGGCACGATAGAAGGACACTAGGAGGTCAATCTACACCCTGTTGCATCTCAGAACCCTCAAGAAATGGAGGAGCTGCTGGGCTTTCTTCATTCAGGCTGATGTATTTGTAGTCCAGGACGGGTCCTCAGAAATGTGGGTACCGAGGAACTTGAAGGAGGACGCCCTCTCCACGTAGTCACCTTTTATGGAGAGGGGACAGGTGGTTTTCCTGTGTTTAGGGTAAGGTTATTGTGGTCACACCATTCTGTCAGACCCTGGACCTCTGTCGGTGTTGTCAACGTTGGTGATGATTCCCATCAGGGTGGTGTCATCTGCAAATTTGATGATGATGTTGCAGGGTTGAGGGGGGTGCAGTTGCTGGTGTAGATGGTGTATGGGAGAGGACTCAGCACACATCCCTGTGGTGAGCCAGTGCTGAGTGACAGGGAGGACGATCTGATGACAGATTGTGATAAAGTTTTTGATCCATGCACATGTAGCGGGGGGAGGAGTCTAAGTTTACCAGCTTGGCTATAAGGATGTCTGGGATGATGGTATTGAAAGCCGAGCTGAAATCAATGAAGAGACTTCCTTACTGAAGTCCCAAGATTCTAAGCAGAGTTTAGGGCAGTGGAAACAGCATCCTCTGTGGACCTGTGAGGGCCAAAGCTGAGTGGGAGGCAGTCCTTTA